TCAGGCAATCCACACAGGAGAGAGACCCCACAAGTGCTTGGGCTGTGGGAAAAGTTTCATACAGAGGTCACACCTAGTTCGTCATCAGGCAATCCACACAGGAGAGAGACCCCACAAGTGCTTGGACTGTGGGAAAAATTTCATACAGAGGTCACACCTAGTTCGTCATCAGGCAATCCACACAGGAGAGAGACCCCACAAGTGCTTAGACTGTGGGAAAAGTTTCATAAGAAGATCACACCTTGTTCAACATCAGGCAACCCACACAGGAGAGACTCCAGAGGTGCTTGGACTGCTGGAAAACTTTCATATGGAGGTCTGACCTCATTAAACATGGAAAATCCCCACAGGATCTAAACTTCTGTAACAAATGGCATGAAAGGGTTAAGCAACTTGTAATTGACTCAGATTCAACTTTTAAAGAGAGATATAACTGTGTCCCCACCTTAGATAGAGTTTGAAATTTAAATGTGTATTTTTAAAGACTTTGAAGAAGAGGGCAAGTCACGTCTGTGTAACCTAATTGCCTTCTATGAGGAGATAACTGGCTCTGTGGATGAGGGAAAAGCAGTGGATGTGTTATGCCTTGATTTTTAGCAAAGCTTTTGATATGAACTCCTACAGTATTCTTGCCAGCAAGTTAAAGACGTATGGGCTGGATGAATTAACCATAAAGTGGATAGAAAGCTGGCTAGATCATCGAGCTCAACGCGTAGTGATGCATGAATCCATGTCTAGTTGGCACCCGCTATCAAGTGGAGTGCCCCAGGGGTCGGTCCTCGGGCCGGTTTTGTTCAGTATCTTCATTAATGATCTGGAGGATGAAGTGGACTGCACCCTAAGCAAGTTTGCTGATGACACTAAACTGACAGGAGTGGTAGATACGCTGGAGTGTAGTGATAAGATACAGAGGGACCTAGACAAATTAGAGGATTGGGCGAAAATAAATCTAATGAGGTTCAGCAAGAATAAGTGCAGAGTCCTGAATTTAGGATGAAAGAATCCCATTCACTGCTACAGACTAGGGACGGAATGGCTAGGCAGCAGTTCTGCAGAAAAGGACCTGGGGTTACAGTGGATGAGAAGCTGGATATAAGTCAACAGCGTGCCCTTGTTGCCAAGAAGGGTAACGGCATTTTGGGCTGTACAAGTAGGGGCATTGCCAGCAGATCGAGGGACATGATCGTTCCCCTCTATTCAACATTGGTGAGCCCTCATCTGGAGTATTGTGTCCAGTTTTGGGCCCCACACTACAAGAAGGAAGTGGAAAAATTGGAAAGAGTCCAGCAGAGGGCAACAAAAATGACGAGGGGGCTGGAGCACATAACTTATGAGTAGAGGCTGAGAGAATGGGGATTGTTTATTCTGAAGAAGAGAAGAATGATGGGGGATTTGGTAGCTGCATTCAACTACCTGAAAGGGGGTTCCAAAGAGGACGGATCTATACTGTTCTCAGTGGTACCAGATGACAGAACAAGGGGTAATGGTCACCAGTTCCCAGAGGTAGTGTTTAGGTTCGGTGTTGGGTATATGATTATCTTTAGA